AGACAGACAGACAGACAGACAGACAGACAGACAGACAGACAGACAGACAGACAGACAGACAGACTGCTAGAGGAAAGGTCGTGACCTGTAACAGTAGAGTGGAGGTGAAGATAAGGCCTCACTGCTCAGCTGGTGTCACTAACAGGAGAACGATCACTGAGGGTCGGTCTGAGGGTCAGTCTGAGGGTCGGTCTGAGGGTCGGTCTGACTACTTTCATTACAAGTCCATTAGGACAAAACACTGCCACCTGCTGGTCTTGAAGGACAGGTCTGGGTGTATGATGGAGAAGCTGACTCTCACCTTGAAGCCCAGCAGTGGAGGTCTGGAGCAGCTGGTGACAAACTTGAGCAGCTTGCGTTTCTCCTCATCCGTGAAGCCGTCCACCACCTCCCAGAAGGTCTGGATGACGGGGTGAGTGGGCGAGTATCCACCTGAAGAGGGGCAGTGACAGGGACCACAGGGTTGTTCTCTCTGGACACTGCTTCACTTGTCTCCAAAATGATTCTACAGCGCCCCCTGACTTTTTCATCAACTCATGCTACTTTGACAATAATTCCAAAAGCCACATGTTGCCACATCAGTACGTGGCTCCCTCTAAAGGTCAACAGCCTGCGCTCCGTCCACTCTTGGTCCACTCAAACCATTTCTTACCAGAGTAGTTGGTGAACTTTTTCAGGTCATCCAGACAAATTGGCACGTGGGCTCCAGATATCAGCACCTGTCACAGAGCGGGCGGTCAATGTTGTGTCACTGGTTGTTTCTGTGTCAGTGCTGCCGTCTGTCGACTTCATACCTGGATCTCCTGCTGGTCGAACATACGCAGCCACTCCAGGTTGACCACGTTGGCCAGTCCCTGTCTGAAGGCCAGGCAGTGAGGTCGGATCTGTTTGTTGAGCCTGTAGTCTGCCACTAGGTGGATGTAGGCTATCCGGTTAGCCGTGGTCACGGGAATGTCTTTACCCCCCAGCTTCAGTTCAACCACCTGTGAGAAAACACACACACACACGGCTCTTCTTCAGGTAGTGTTTAAAGTTTGGGTCTGTGACCAAGTCACTTCATCATGAGACCCACAGCACACTGTGTGTGTGTGTGTGTGTGTGTGTGTTAAAAGTGCAAAGTTTGACTGCTTCTATATATAGGACAGAGGGGGAACATCTGCTCCAATACCATTTGGCCCCAGGTTCTCTTTTCATTAGCTTTAGAGCAGTTAGCACTTGATAGGATTTGCTCACCTCTGTTCATAAAGTCCAGAGTGTGATGTCATCACTGCAGCCAAGGTGGGACAAAATTTAATGTTCATCACTTTAACTGCTGTACGTGATGGTGTTTTCACAGAACAGATCCAACCGATCAAAGTAAAACATTAAGGTCGGGGGAAAAAAAGGCCACAAAAATGAAGAAGTGAAGCAGAAAGATTATTAAAGAATTATTTCAGATCTGGTGAAAGAAAATTCAGAGTGACTGAAAAGATCAGACCATAAAACAGCTGTTAAAATATATGGCTGAAACGTTAGCACCAAAGCTATATATATATATATATATATATATTTAGCTAAATGATGGATAGAAGAAGTAAGGCAGCCGAGGCTGGACTCCAGAGAGCCCTGGTACAGACCAGAACAGACCAGAACAGACCAGAACAGACCAGTGTTCACCTGAGTAGAACTTAACTATGAATACATGAACTCCAACAGAAGTATAAGAGCAGCTGTTTGTTAGCTACAGCACGTTCTGTACGTTCTGTACGTTCTACGTCTATGGTCCAGACAGTCATCATCATCATCATCATCATCATCATCAGCTGCTGCTGCTGCTAACAGTGGCCTCTGATTATGTGCTAATGTCAGAGAATCACTCTGGTTATCTTGCTTACTTAAACTATCTCTCAGGGGCAAATGCGGGGCAGACAGCCTGCGGGTGTGTGCCTAATCTTTCACAAATGGTTCTGCCCTATCATGTTGGCAGCCGTGCTGTTTGCCTGCAGGAAGCCCACATTGTAGCTCCGCCGTTTCAGGGCTTGTTTGAGAAGAGCTAATAAGAGGCGTTCAGGCCCTGAGCAAACACGGGTCGGGGTCTGAGTGAGTCCCGCTGATGGTCTCTGCAGCACTGAGCTTTGGAAAGGACGTGCTCTGCAGCAGCTAGCTGCTTCTGTCAGGCGTGACGTGAGCGGTCAACACGGTCGCTGCGGCACGGCCGCGGAGCTCGGAGGGAAACGGGGGAGATCTGACAGAAGGGAGGAAACGGACTGTTCACTTCAGACGGAGAGATGAAAAACACAGCGGTCACCTGAGCTTCTCCCAGGTCGTTGTTGACCACGGTGAAGTTGAGGCCCAGCTCCTCCACGTCCCCCTCGTAGCTCTTTAGGAACAGAAGGTTGCGGTACATTTCTGGGTCCAGTGAGGCCAAGTGGTGGATGTCCACGTCTGCACTGGTTCCCAGCAGCTTAGACAGGAAGAAGGTGGCGAAGGGCAACTCCACCAACATGTTTTCATACAGCGCCTGAGTGGAGAACAGAGTGGTCAAAGCAGTGGTTCTTCACTGTGAAATAAAAACAGTTCAGCTGTTTGACAATAATTACAATAATTTTGGAAAAACTATGAACAAACATTGAAATCAGAGGAAGTCGATCCTGTCAAATCACAGTGACACACACACACACACACACCGGCAGCTCTGCTTCACCAGCCTCAAACTTTATAAATGCCAACTCTCACCTTGACCTGAATTGCCATTAAGAACCACAGGCGGCAGGTGAGTCATAAAACCCAAAGCTAATGCACTGGAATAGTTGGAAAAAGAGCCCCGTTGGAGGCATTAAAATATACAGGTCCTTATAAATGATGGCACTAAAAACCCTGACCGCATCAGCTAAATGGATTATAAATCTAACGCATTTCCATAACGCGTGCATCTTAAACACACACGCGCACATAAATCACGGCTATTTTCTAAACACAGGTTAATTGCACAACTTCAAACATTGTCTATTTTTTATGCAAAATAATCCACTTAGTATTTCTCCTGTGGCCGGAGCTCGTTTCCAACCATATGCACGGCGTGGCCCCTTGAAACCTATCAATAAGCCTGGTGCCGGGAAGAGGCGGCCGAGAGTGTGTGGAGGAAACCTGGAGCCTTATTTTTTCACTGCCACTTACTTTATTTATGGCTGTTTATTGCCAGAAATTGTGCCAAAATGACTTGGGCTGGAAGGAATTAATTATTACGGCTCAGGCCTTTTAATATAAGTGAGTGCAGTGGCAACGCAATTAATACAGATCCCGGCTCCATCAGGTGGAGTAAATGCCAGCAACGTTGCAGGTGCATTCTGTTAGCTGCCAAATAAATTCCTTAATTTACAGCATTAAGAATCAATAAAATTATAATGCCTTTCAAACACACTGCCATCAATCAGCGGTGCCAACCTCACACACCTCCAGAGGAAAGCATCAGTCAGAGGACGGCAGTGACGAGGGGCGGGGGAGCCAAGGGAGACCAGAAGGAAACTTTCTAACCAGTTAACAGAGTGGACAGGCCTCTGATTGGCTGATCGCAGGTTTTGGTACCAACGAGGCGGGACATGAGAGCTGAGCGTGTCTGTCCACACTCCCATCAGCCCCAGATCGACCTTCCACTCTGGGCGGGCTGCAGGCTTGGAGTCTGACCCCGTTTTCACGTCCCTCCATCAGAGGCTTAAATCTTTCAGCACGCCAGCTGGGTGGACAAGTGAGGAAGAAGGATGACGGCTGCCGTCCAACCTGATGTTCAATCCCATTTCAGTGAGTACCCCAGACAAGCCACTCCTGCCTGTAATAGATCACCCCCACAACAATGGCACGCCTCGGACATTAATTAACAGTATTAATCTCCCGTGTCCTTTGAGCTGCTCCGTGCACTGTGCACACTGCGGCGGTGATGCAATCCCAATCTATGTAAACGCCACGGCACTAAACAAATATCAATACGCCTCAACAAACGGCCGTTTTTATGGAGAAAGAGGAAGTTAAAGTAGGGTTAATTAAAAGTCAAATTCAAATTAATTTCACCCCAACTAATGGTCTGGACCATTAGCTACAGGGAGCACAATACTGAGGGAGCGGGAGGCGGGGGGGGGGTCCTGCAACTGAAGGTTGACCATTTCTCACATACACAGAATACAAGAATGTGAAGGAGCAGGAGGAGCAGGAGGAGCAGGAGGAGCAGGAGGAGCAGGAGGAGCAGTAGCTGTGATGCTCCTGTAGGTGGACCAGATCATACTAGGCTAAAAAAGAGAGAGAGAGAGAGAGAGAGAGAGAGAGAGAGAGCAGACCTGGGAATTGTTGACTGTGAAACAGATCAAAATACCATTAGCACATGCTGTGAAGACTTATTTATGTCCTGTCTGTGCAGCTCCACTGATTTAGTACCGGCCAAATGCAATCACTACACAAACAAGGGCTAGGAATCATCGGCTAATGGAAGCCCTAATTGAGAGGCGACTGCTTGTCATGAGGTAATTCTTCTCTAAGTTGTGAGGATGCCCCCCCCCCTTCACCCCCATCTTCCAACCCCCTCCTCAGGAAGAAGGCGTCCAGATAAACAATCACTAGCACGTGCATTAAGGATGATTTAAAAATGAGGGTGGGGGGAGGGGGGTGTTAGTGGTTAGTGTTGTGTTGTTCCTGGTGTGAAACAGGTGAATTTCCTTCTTCTCAAACACCACTTGGACAAAGGACACCAGGGTCAACTAGTCTTTTGTCCTTCCTCACCTTTCCCAGGATCCGGCCCAAGAAGTAGTAGTGTCGAGTGAAGGAGTCTCCGACCAACATCTGTGCAGCGGGGTTGGGATACAGCAGGCCCTCGTTGGTGGTCTTGAAGAAACCCTGGTTCGGATTGAAGCCCGACTTGAGAAGCTCGTTCAGGAACTCCCGAAAGATTCCCCCTCCATCGATGCCGGCCTCGTCCAGGCCGTGGGCGTTGAGCAGATGGACCCTAATCCTTTTCTTCAAGTCAGGCTCTAGAGAGAGGAAAAAAAAACAGAAAATGTCTATTAGGAGGTCTGAAAGATGAAAGATCATCAGATCAGATCAAGATCAAGATCAAGATCAGATTATGTGGTCGGTCCAGGATCAGGTTAAAGAAGGAACTATTTGAATTACACCTCGTTAACAGTACTTTAGGTTAACGCTGATCATTTTTATAATAATAATTTAATTTAAGAGTTTGGTCAATTTTCTAGTTTTTTCATCTTCTTCATGTCTTGACATCAGCACTGATTTCATCAGCTGTACCTAAACACAGCTACACACACACACACACCTCCTGTGACACGTGAATCTTCTCCATCACGTCGTTGTCCACCAACAAACATTTTGCAACAAAGCAGTTTTTGTGACCTCTGAATATTCAAATCAAACAGTATAAAAGGTCATCTTTCAGAATAGTTAATGTCGGGCCATAAATCAGAGCAGCTATAACTTATAGACACGTAAATGATATAGATCATGTCTTCAGTCCAGGTCTGCTGCTACTCTTTTTAATCAGATTGCCCCCACTCCAGTGCCCTTTCAAATTCAAACACAAAAGAGGTGACTTAAAATAATTGATTCTGCTTTTATGTGATCCATTATAATAATCAGAAGCACAATTACACTTTACCGAAATTCAGCACAAGGAGAGAGAGAGAGGGGGGGGAAGAGAGGGGGAGAGAGAGTGAGACCTGGTCTTTAGTTCTGGCCTGGACCCTGGTTTCATGGACCACAACCAGAGTTTGTCTGTCCTCTGCTCTAACACTTTAGCACACACAGTGGTAGGGGTCCGTACCGTTCTCCGGGGACAGCTTATCGTACGCATCTTCATAGATGTAGTTGCGTCTGATGGTGACGTTGATGCCGTCAGGAAACGGCCCGTCCCCCTGCACGTCCCGTTTGTCAGCGTAGATCAACTTCTGAAAGATCTGCAGACAAAAACAGCTGCACGTTCAAAATCACAATTCACAAACGTACATCTGATCACTGAGTGCTGGGAACACCGGGAACACCGGGAACACTGGGAACACCGGGGACACCGGGAACACTGGGAACACTGGGAACACTGGGGACACTGGGGACACCGGGAACACTGGGGACACCGGGAACACTGGGAACACTGGGAACACTGGG